GAGCCACCCACAACCTCCAGCACTACAGAGACCCCCACCTCTTCTACCACTTCAAATGCTGCCATTACCACCACTACAATGACTGCCACAAAACCAATCACTACAGAGGCTATCACTACTACAACAGAGTCCACGACCACCACCACCACAGATGCTACCGCTACTACAATGGAGCCCCCCACAACCACGACAACAAAAGAGTCACCCACATCTACTTCCATCTCAAAGGCTGTCATAACAACCACTGCTATAACTACAACAAAGCCTACCACCACAACAGAGCCCCCTTCTACCACCACAGTACACACTACTACAACATCAGAGTCTCCTATTACTACAACTGAGCCCCATACAACCACGACCACAACAGAAAACCCCTACACTACAACCAAAAAAGAGGCAACCACAACAGAGCCCACTGTTGTCACCACCACACAGGCTCTCATTACTACAACTGAGACCCCCATAATAACGATCCAAACTGTGTCCCCCACAACTACGACCACATCAGAGGCCACTGGTACTACCAATGGTAAAACGACAACTAAACCCACCACTACATCAGAGGACCCATCTACCATGACAGCGCCCTCTACTACTACCTCAGAGTCTCCAAATACTACAAAAGAGACTGCCACAACCACAACAAAAGCCCCAACCACTATTACAACAGTGGCACCCACTACCAGCACGGAGCCCACTACCACCACCAGCTCCATCACAACCACACAAGCTCCCATTACTACCAGTGTGCCCCCTACACCCACAACCACCACAGAATCACTTACAACTTCTACAAATTCAGAAGCCACCGTTACGACCACTACTATGACCACTAGAATGCCAGTCACTACCACAGAGATCCCCACTACCACCACAGAGGCTCCCACTACTACCACTGAGCTCCCGACAACTACGACTGTAACAGAGCCCTCCACCACTACTACCACCTCAGATACTCCCACTACTACAACTGAGCCACCCACAACCTCCAGCACTACAGAGACCCCAACCTCTTCTACCACTTCAAATGCTGCCATTACCACCACTACTATGACTGCCACAAAACCAATCACTACAGAGGCTATCACTACTACAAC